CCCTAATTACCTTCAATGGTGTATTTTGTTTATTGTTGACAATGCAAGCGGATGAGGAAAATTAGAGATAGGTTGGTAACCCTGCTCGAGGGAGCCCTGCTAGACATCTTCCGTTTCGAAGATGGAACCCAAACAGTCTTTTGGTACCAAGGCGGAGTGCGGGCACTGGCCCAGAGGTTCAGTGGAGCTTTGGCCCAGAACACAACCCGAGGCTCCCTACAACAATATGACAGGATTGCAGGGCAAATATGGGTGCTCTCATCCCTCCTTTAGGGACAAGCCTTGACAAATCCAGAAACAGACGCTCAAAAGACTTTGCATGTGTGCTTTTTTGAGGGTGCCCTTCAAGGTTGGTTTCAAGGGATATCAAGGGGAAAGATCGGACTTTGTTGGCCCCCCCCTGCATCTTGCACCATGTGTTTCATTTCATCCGGCGCTAAGTACCGGCCTGGCACAAGCAAACTGCCAAACAAGTCCCAAGCCCCCCCCCTTTCTTGATATCCCCGAATGGACAAATCTCAGGCGCGAGAGTTGCTTCTCCTTGGACACGGGGTTCGTAAGCTGCCCCGATCAGCGCCTGCGCATGCGCTCCATGCCAGAGATGCGGAAGCTCACCGCCAAGGTGCGCCAGGCCGGAGAGGAGGGCGCGAGAGCGGGTCGTGCCGATCTGACGGGTGAACGGTCATGTTGGTTTCCCCCTAGTCCATGCCACAAACCACGGCAGCCGCTGGAACCCACTAATTGTTTGGTTCCCCATGCTCGAGGAGAGGAAGGGAAGCCCATGCTGTTTTGAAGGGGAACCGAGAGGACGCCAAGCGTCGTGGGGGTGTCCGCTTGCAGGACACGGCGGAGGCTGTGTGGTGAGTCGCTTTCAAAATAGGATATGGAGCGCCTCATGTCTTGTTGGTTTTCCTCCCAAAAAGGCGGCACTCCTTTGAGATAAACAAAATCATCTCTTGTGGTTGGGAAACTACAACCTTGGCTTATAGTTGAGTTACATATAATGTTGAGGGTTTGTTCATCAGGGCTCAACACCACCTCTTCCCAAAAAGCCAGCAATACGCTACGTGGAATCCCCCTACCATGGGAAGTATCCCCAAACAAACAAACAAACAAACAGAAGGGATGACCAAAGGCCACTCCACGCAAGGTTTGGGTGGAACAATCCAGATGAACCCCATACATTTGGGAGGGTTTCCGACCAGTTGTGGTGTTAAGGGGGTTGCCCCTATTATTAGTTCCTGGTCCCCGCCCTATTAATACATAGTAGTTGTTGGGTGGGTTGGTTCTGGTTGGTTGCAGGCCCACGAGCGGTGTCGACGCTGTCCGCGAGCGGGTTCCTATTGCTATGGGGTGAAGCTGGTCCACATCGCGTGGCCAGATGATGACCTGCTGAGCAACGCCGTGGAGTTTGAGAACTTGGTCCAAGGCTCGGAGTTCGCTGGCGCTCCAATTCTTAGAGTCCCGCGATGGAATCTGACCAAAAGGCTATCTCCTCATTCCTGGTAAATGTGGCCTTGTTGATGGTCTATCCATGGCATTTCATGACTCTCCGCTAGCTTTCAACAATGCGGGACATAGAAATGGCGCATAGTCAAGTCAAGCTGCGGTGTGTTCAGCTAGGCGCGCGCCAGAGGGTCTCCCGCGATTGTTTTTATTCTGCCAACACCCGAGGTGGTTGGCAAGTCGGCCAGCAAGTGACACTGCAAGTGCGCTGGATCAACGACCACATCCAGCTCAGAATGCTTTCCTCTGAACTGGCCCATGAAGATATGGTCGGTAGAGAGGCGACAGAAAGCAGTGAAGGCAGAGAATACATCTCTCCTGTGGAGAAGCGCCCACATGTGTATGCATTGGAGTCTTGCTGAATGATGGCACTGTGATTTGCTGTAGTAGTATGCACTTGCAATGATGATAGCGTTTTGCTCGTGTCCAATACCATTGGCACTAATGTCCATCCTTGTCATTCTTTGGGCCTCGTTGGTGCCAGGATTTGAGAAACCTAACTGCTGATTCTTTTCTGGCACAAAATGTACCAGTAGATACCGGTCAAGGCGCTCTCAAAAGGGATATCCGGATATCCCCTAGAGGTCAAGGGGTGAATAAACCTACAGGAAATTCTACAGGAACCCCTGATTTTGGTAGGGATTTGGCGAATTTGTAGGGTGTCCTTGTTGCATTTGAGGACATGTGGGCGACCTGTGAGAAGCCCTTGGTTTGTCTACGAGGCAGCTGCGTAAAGGCGGATGGGCGCTGGTGGGACGCGCACGGAATCAGCGCTGCGCGCATGGGCCTGGACGATCTTTGCGATGCGCTGCAGGAGGCGTGACGGTCGAGTCTAAGATGGTTGCCCCTAGAACCAAGCAAGTCCTGGTAGGTACTTCATATTAATATAGGAGTATGGTGGTTGCTTATCACCACTTTTCTAGGTTGCAACCCAGCTTTTGGCAGCAGATGCAACTTGTTTTTGCAAATTGCTGCTCTTGTTGCCTCCTGCTGGTGCCTTTGTGCAATGCTTGCCGTTGCAGTGGATTGCTTCTGTTTTGCTGGTTGAGTGCTGTTGCTGTTTCTGCTTCCTGTTCGAGCATGCTGTAGGCGGTCTCTTTGTGTTAGTTCCGTGATTGCCTTCGTACTCCGCATTGCTTGTGGCTGCTTCGCGTGATGAGAATTGCTTCCTGCCGCTTTGCAAGGCTTATAAATAGTGTTGTTTTGTGTTGAAGTGTCGTGCTGTGCCGTGTGTCGCTTCAGTTCGTGAGTGTGTGTGTGTGTGTGTTCATTTCAGAAGGGGTTGCCGTGTTATCCGTGTTGCTCTTGCTGCTTTTGCTGCTTTTGCTGTGTTTTGCTGATGCTGCTGTTGCTGCTGATGCTGCTGATGCTGCTGGCGGTTGCTGTCTCTGATGTGGTTGTCGCGGGCACTATTTGTTTTCTGCATTCACAACTGCCTTTTCCTGCCAACTGCATGAAAACTCTCCGACAGGGCCTCTGGTTTGTGATGTGCATGACGGATGTGACCAATTCCCCGCCTGTCGAGCACACTGGCGGTGGCTACAACTTTCTGAACGGGCTTGGCTTGGAGGCAATGGTCTAAAGACATGCTGTGCTTTCAGAACCCCGTCAACAAGCTAAAGACACAAAGGACGAAGATTGCGACTTTCTGGTTGACATGTTTTGTTGTGAGCCTTCAGACGTTCATTGTCCCAAGCTGCAAGCTGAGCGCACAAGCGCATCTATCGACGAAAAGAGAAAGCCGCTTTGCCAATGCAGGGTCAAGCCTGCTTGGCAAAGCCGTTTTGCCGGTAAGGCGCCGATGCCGGAAAACAGGCGCGGGAGTCAAAAATCCCAATTTCGAACACCGAAGCGCAAACATCTTAAATGGAAACGCCAGAAGATGTGTTCTATGCGTCGAAATAGACATTGTCATGACTTCTAGAACAGATATACCAACCAATATGCCTCTTCACAAGAGCCACTCCGAACTGTCACAAAGTCGATCATTTGATCTGAAGCACACAGCGAGTTTGCATGGCTCGCTTGGCATGATTTACCATAGTATCTGTTTTTGTTGCACTCATCTTGAGCAGAAACAGACGATCTGGGCAATGCACCCCTGCATCACGACCGTCCATGCAATGATTTATCAGGGTCAACAGCAGAGACAGGGCTCCCATGCCTTTTGGGGGGTTCATTCACCAGCGCTTCTGTGTATTGGTAGGCTGTTCAAAGGCGAAATATTGGAAATTCGGCAAGCGCTCTCTTGATGGCAGAGTCCTGAGTTCCGTTTGCCGGTGCTGCGTGCGCAGCACAGACGAATTCCGCGATCCCCAGCCCACGCGGTTGACGCTGATCCGACGAATCCTTTGCTTCACGCCAAGACATGTTGTGACTTGCCAGCCGGCTAGCTTGTTGCCATGATAGATCCCAATGCCTAATGTGTTGCTGTGATACTTGAAGCACGATCCGTGGAACGTGAGGCCGACTGGTGTTCCAACAGTTGCCTCAAAACGAAGCAGAAAGATCGAAGAGACAATGGAGCGTCCCGAAACCATTTGACACAGTCTAGCAAGAGATCCTGAGAGGACATACGCCAAGTCACAAACTTGGGGCATGCACGATGTATTTCAGGCACATATTTCTTCTCCTTGATCATTGATGGCATTCTCGGTGAGTCATGCTGCTGTGTTTAAAGTCCTCTTCGTTCGAGTTCTGTGCTTGGGCCATGGGATTGTCCCAAATAAATTCCTCGCCTTTTCCGGGTCGGAGACCGACGGGATGGGTGGAGGATTCCGCCTTGAGATTCAGGGCCGAGGCTTCATGCATTGCTCGTGTGCAGATCTCAACTCGAATGTCACAAAGGGGGGACCCAAACACCGCAAGCAAGTTCGGCGCGGATTCATCCAGCCTGTAGTAGCAGGAGAAAGTGCCAAATATGCCGACTGCCCAGGCCGCAAGCCTTGATTCAGGGCCTTTTTTATGGCGACCTCACCCAAGGCTTTGCGACCTCATGAGGATTGATGATGGTTCCTTGCTTGGGGAGCACTTGTTGGTGAATCACCATGATTCAGACAGATGAAATAAGGCCACGAGTCTTGAGAAGCAATGTCATGCGAGATTCAGAGGTGACCAACTACAGTAAATAGTTGTCGGCCCCATCGCATTCGAAAAGTGATGGAATGCTTGTCTTTGATACTGCCCTGGTCATGAGCCGAGCGAGACATGTTTCATCACAAAGGGTGCTGAGAGTATTGCTGGACAAATTTTAGCTTGGTTTGAAAATCGAAATGTGCTGTTTTCAGTGACGTGGGCTTGCAACAAGAACACTGCGGACGTGACTTACGCGCTTCAACTCTTGAGATGGTCCGCATCTTTCGGACTTGGACGCGTCCACCTTTCACTGAGGAGTACGCCGGTGCCCGCCAAGCAATACGTGCATTCATCCCCAAAGCTAGTCCCTTTCCAAGGAGGGTAAATGGAGCGGGATCTTGACCTCGAATGCCTGCCAGGAGGCACTGTCCTCATCTGGCTCGCTGGACGGAAATCTTTGGGCTGCAATCTGAGCGGGATGACGTGTTCATGGGCCATTGAATGGGAACTTAGACACGCTTCACAAGGAGATCTCTTAGGAGAAGCATGATCATGGCGTGACTGTGAATTCGGTTGCTCCGTTTCCCTTTGGGGTACTCTGAATCAACAGCCATACTTTATTTCAACAGGCTTCTCTCAAGGGGAGTGGACTGGTTCCACTTCGACCGGCAAGTAAGCCCGTTGCGGATTGGCCTTATGCCACATGCTGGACACTGTTTGAGGAGAGACCAAAATGACACAGTCCTGAAAAGGAAGGATTGCTTCGATAAAGCCATTGAGTTTTAGGGAACCATCATAGAACCTAGTGTGATTTGGGATGCAATCCAACACAGGACACAGGCTACCAGTGCGTCGGGGGGGGGGGGCTTGTTGGACGCTGTAATCGTGCTGGCGCTCCATTTCCAGTCTGCATGAATGGACGCACTTCGACCAAGTTTGGACTGCTTCTGAATGCGTTTCGGCAAATGACTTGACTTTGTGAACCCCTACAGGTAACGCTGAGGCCAGTTGTCCAAGAAAAGTCTCAGGCCTTCACATTTGCATTTTGGAGGGTTCTGCGGGCCTTTTCTGTTGCCTGCCGTTTGCGAATCTTCTAATTTGAATCTGTCATTTTGTTCCCATGTTTGGCCGGCTTTCGGAAGCTGCACTTTGACATGCAGCTTAGACTCGCCTTTTGCCGGCACTCATCCAGTCCATGTGCGGAGGCGTGTTTTGCTCATTGATTGCCTGCTCCAGATGCTCGACAACAGGTTACGTGCTGTCCGAGGCATTCTCCAACTATGAACTTGTATGCCTACCCTGGACCCTACAAATTAACTAACATGGAGCCCAAAGAACTGGCCCCAGAAAAGAGTTTTCCCTGAATTGGGTGGCTTTGGGGTATCCATGTCAATTTTCAAGAGGGTATAAAACATAATATGAAAGCCATTGTAACTTGCCTTGTTCTCCAAGTGTTTGCAGCTGAACGACGCAAAGCTGCTGAGGTTGCAGCTTTGGCGCAAGAGTTGCACTTCTTCCTCTCAGCCTTACCGCATCACGATGTGTGCCTGGCCAGTTTGAGTTTGCCGCTTCGATGTATCAAGGGCCGCCAAACGCCAAACGGGTGTGGGTCAAAATTAGGTACTCATAATGGAACCTTGACAAATGGAAATAAGACAAAAACCTGCGGTCCCCTGGTGGTTTAGTTTTGACCCACACTCAAGCCATTTATGAACAGTCAAGACTGGACAAGTATATTTTTCTCGTACTTGAAGGGTACAGAATCATGCACTCGCGAAGCTCAGCCTAGCCTGCCCCTGGTAACCCCTGGCGGGTTCGCGTAACGTCGGCTGGGTTCGCTTTTTGTGGGTAATTGTAAATGGGCCTTCATCCGCATCCGCATGGGTTTGCAGATCTTTGGCCACTATGTTACTATTGTATCCGCAGGGTGTACCTGCCACATCATCTCAAAGACCCTCATGAGCACCCAGCGCACCCAGCTTGCTTTGCCATTGATGTCCCTTTGTGGTACACAATCATATCAACCTAAATGACTTCGACCCCACCACACTTTAGGGTTTGGTGTCGGTTTGTTGAGCGCTGTGTGCTTCAGGAATCACAGGTGCACGCAAATTCTACAGTTAATTCGCCACACACCAACCTAAAGCAAGGATGTGTATTGTTGTTTCCTGCGGCTGGTGCCTTGGAATTTAGTCACCTGTTCAGAGGCCGTTGGAAGTTGCCTGCAAAGGGCATAGGAGCTGTGAAGTGCAGTTTTTAGAGTTTCAGCTTTCTGTTCCTGAGCGCCACCAAGAAGCAGAGCTACCCCCGAAGTAAGCAAACAAAAGTGCTTTCGGTCTCCGGAGATACCTGGTTGCTCCCTGGGCCAAGAACGAGCTGCAAGCCAACGAAGTGCCCAGGACACGGCGGCCAGATTCACTGACCTCCTTTGCAGCCTGCTGGAGAAGGATGGGGACATTGCGCAGTCACTCTCGAATCTGCTTGCACCTTCCTTGGAGTCCAATTTTTGTCGACGCTTTGAAACGAATCCAAGAGAAAAGCCCTCATTTCAACACGGGATCCGAAAGGCATCGGCCCAGTCGTCGCACTTGGCAAGCCAATTTCCTTCGGAGCGCTTTTTGTCGTTGATCCCCTTGGTCTCATGCTTGTAGGAACGTGCTCTTATGCCACACCCTTGAAAGGCACTAGGAAAAAACTTCCGCAGCTCATATGTCTACAGCCACCATGTGACGCATTGCGCCAGCTCGTTAGGCCAAGAAGGACTCCCGGGACAGTCCCATGGCACGACCCTGGGACGTTGCTGGAGGCCTGAGGGCGACCAGTCAAGCGAGCCAGGATGAGCCAGGTCTTCCGATCCATTTCGAAAGCTTGTAGAATTGTTCCCCTTTCAGTGTCCGCAAACGTTCGACACGGATGTGACGAAAAGAAACGGCCAACCTTAAACCTATGAGATGGTCAGGCAACCACTGGAAAGGATCAAGCGATCTTTCCTGGTTGAAATGTGGCAAACAATGGCAAAAAACGTAGACGAAACGTGAACTAGGAAGAAACGTGGAACACAAAGAGGAACATATGCAATTTTCACTTCCCTCAAATTTCAGAGGCATGTCACGTTTCCTTGGAGAGCGATGTCGGAGTCACCATGCTGCTTCACTGCAAATCTATAAGAGTGCACACGGGGAGCGGAGCCGACCAACCCGAGAAGGGGCTTCATGGCCATGGTAGGTGTCGATTGAGTCTTGTTCCACCCTCCCAACAGTGCCCCGAGTCAGCCACGCAATCTCTTTTATCAGCTGCTTTAGAGGATCTCTTTGCAAAGCAAGTGGCTTCAGCGTTTCTCGCAGGGCCGAGCGAGCTCAGCGACGCTCATCGCGCCGGGATTTTCAACCTGACAGGCGCTCAAGAAGCGAAAGCTTCTCAAGTTCCCCGGTCTCGTTGTTTGGCGGGGCACCTTTTTATTCAGAGTTCTTCCCCTTGCGGGAGACTGACACCATGCAAACACGGTGGCACCCGGGACAGCTTGCCTTCAGAGGTGCTTGCTCAAATTCACTTGGGACAGTTTCTTTATGATTGTTTGAATGGCAAGAGAAACAACCTGCGAAAGGGTGGTCCCAATTTCGAGAAGAACCCAGCACACGTATTGAATGCAGCATTTCCCGAGCGGTCAGGTGCACTTCTGGTAATTTCTTGCAGCAAGGCCGTAAGACAGTGTCTCACGATGAACTAGTCAGCCTACATTTGACTTTTGGACAATCCACACATCTTTTTGGAGGGTTGTTTGGTAGGAGCAGCAGGAAGGAAGCTAACGTGGATTGAAGGAGTAGCTTGTTGTGGCTGCTAGGGCCGAATTTTGGTTTAAGCCAGCAACCTTCATTGGAAGGTGCACGTGCCATGGCAAGAATACTAGATTGCTTGTCGCTCTTTTCCTGATAATCATGAGTTGTTGGTTTCCCGTGCGGTTCATGCAGTTCTGTTCAAGGGAATGATGGCCCCCTTCAAGGAGTGTGGAACCTATCGGCGGGCCAGGCGTTTGCCTAGCACATCTTGGCGCTGCTGCCTCGGTTGAGTGACTCCAATTGCGTGTGGAAGGGATTGAAGAAACGGAATGCTATTGCGGATACAACAAACAGACGGGGCGCTGCATTGCTGCATTAGAATATGTGGCAGATTCCGTACTTGCAAATATTGCTTGATGTCAGGGTCGCACCAGAGCTGCTTATATTGGGCGGTACGACAGCAGGTCCATAGTTGTTTGCTCCATTCTCCAGTTGATCTGTCGCGAAGAGCATGTCCACACAACACTAGAAGAGTATGATCAGCCTGCTGTCCACCGTCCGCATATTATAGCAATGTGTTGGCTGTGTGAATGTGCAGAGCTACCACAACTTCTTGGTTCTCACTGCCACTGCAAGTTGGTCTAAGAATTGTGTTGTGCTCTCTCAGAGCCATTCACCTTGTTTTCCACGCAGCATTGTGTAAGCAAAACGACATAAGTAAGTTGGAGCTAGTTACCTTCATGGCTGACACCATGCTGAATCCTACTGTTACTGAGAGGCGTTGCTCATTGGTGTTGCTCAGTGGTGGACATTTCTACATACTGATGTTTAGGCATTCAAGCCGTTCAAACCCAACAGTGCCTTCACGTCTACCACCGCCTGGTGACTATGTTAGTGCCAGGAAACGCGCAGAAAGCCAGCGCAACCCTGGAAATGCTGTCGGCACCCCAGCAGTTTCATATTTGAGGCCTGGGTTGCAGTAGGGGCCCCACACTAAAGGATCCCTCCCGCACGTGTTCCATTTGTGGATAGTCGCTTCCCCCAAATTCTAAATATGGATTTTTTGTTTTCTAAAGATAAATTGACTCGGTACCATGAGCTTTTGCCCCACGGAATCCCAATCTGGTCCTTGTTTAAATGGCCCCTTTTTCCCACGCTGAAACCATCGAGGTTACAATGATTTACGGAACTGGTTCAAATTTATTTATGCAGCTACTGTTGTTGGTTGCGCGTGATTTCTTCTGTAGGGTTCGTCCGGAGCGAGCATAAAAAGATTTGCACTGTAGTGTTCCAACGAAGCGGTTGGTTGGTGAAACGAGACACTTTAAGGGAACCACCTTTGGGGGTGTTTGATTACAATGTGAGGTTTTTGCAAGATCTAGTCGACTGTGGTCGATTGAGAAGGGGCATGGGGGACGGTTTGCCGCCAAAACCAGGGCTGCATGACAGTTGCTCCCTGGCTCATGTCCTCGTTTGGATTCGATCTAATTGGGCTTCCCTTATTTCGAGTCAAACCCACATCAGCAGCGCCCCTTTGCAGGGTTTTGCTGCCTTGTTTCATAGGGCTCATACTGCGCAGCCATACCTTGATGAACCAATTGGGGTAGGGCATGGTAGAATCAAAAGCCAGTGAGCATTGGTAGAATAAAAAGCCAGCCACCAACATGGAATTTCAGCAGACATTCCATTGTAGAAGTCTTAGGTCAGGTTCCATGTGGGAGGGAAGATACCCGGACTGCAGTCCAACCACGCTTCGGCTTCGGCGTTTGAGGCTAGCAGCGGCGCCAGACCTGGGCCGTGCCCGCCGTGTTGGGGTGCCCACTTGGCGGACTTTGAGTTTGGGATGAGAAACTTGGCACTCTCCAGCCCTCGAAAGTAGGAATCCCTTGAAAATCAAGAAGCGCAAAGTGTTGTATGCTTTCCTGTTGCTGTCCCAGTGGTCAGACGGGGGAGACGACCGGACAGAAGCGGAGAGTGCCAGATTGTTCACCGGTGGCCCAGGAGAGCCCTCCAAGATCCATGTTTCGGCACATTGTCGACCTTTGGGGGGTATTTATTTATCGGAGGAAGCATTATTTGATGTTCTGGAGCTGCAGCTCCAAGAGAGAGAAACAAGCACATGAAAGCAGATTGTCAGACCACAATGTGAGCTGGGTCAGAGAGCCTAACAACAAGACCTCCAGATGAAACTGAGGTGACGAAGCCCTTCGAGTGGTTAGATTCAATCCTTGAGATGTTTCTGAGTGTTCCATGACAACCCGTTCCATTTGTTCTACCTTTCTGGTCACTGGGCAACTGGGCTTTCGGCAACATTGGTCCTGCCTTGAGGCGTTTGCGCGTGGCTTGGGCATCGCCTCGCCGGGGGCTCCAGATCGGATCTCTGCCGGCCAAACTTGTCACTAAACGACCCACTTTAGTGGTGACATCTCACTCTGGTGTCCCTTCAAAGCAACCCCAAACGGGGTAGAGTGCATATGACATATGCACTCTACCCCGTTTGGGGTTGCTTTGAAGAGCAACTAGAGCGCAATGTACATTCTGGAAGGACGCCCTCATGCCGTATGAGGACTCGCCGTGCCATGATTGTCGGAGCTACGTTTTTGCCTTGTTGAAGTTCCCGGCGCTGCATCCCGAGTGATTCGCTAGCTTCCCGCTTGTTTGCAAAACGGCAGTCGTGGGGCGGAGTGCGTGAGACCTGGAATTGGGATTACTCTGCCAGCATTTCCTTTTGGCATCGTAAACCATTGCAAGCTCAACGTTTCCGTTATACAGGCCAACAAGGATCTCGTTTTTTGGCAGCCATTTTTTGGCGCGCTTTTCAAAAAAAAATCCTGTGCAGTGGGGATTTGAGCTCCCACAGGTCTCACAACCCATGCTAGATATCAAATGGCTGGATTTCTGAGCGGATTCCGTGGCCATTCGCATGTCGAGTGGGGCCCAAGAAGATCCAGGGCCTTGTTTGCCTGTGTTTCTGCCCTGGAATGAGACCACGGCAACTTTGACGACGTACTTGGTGAAGGAATGTCCAAGTGAAGCACCACAGAACACAAATGGTTGACAGCTGCAGCTTACCCAGTCCAGTGGTTGCCTCCAGAAATCCATGCCGATGCCAAGGGTACATGGCTAAAAAGTCCGCGCTGTGATCACTCACGGGTTGTCCATGCGGTCCAACGGCGTGAAAGCAGAGCCAGCGCTTTCTGGATTACAGCGGTCTGAGGAGTCCCACTACCATCAGCACCCGAGCTGAGAGCAGTTTGTTGAGCGAGGAGTGAAGCTGGTGAACTCATGGTTGTTGTTGGGAAACATTTTACATGTTTGCTTATTGTGGTTTAGTGGGAAATCCCCACTTAACTGCTAAAACATAAATTGTTGCTCCCCTTCCAACGTCAACCAAGAACTGATCGCTGCAGTTTCCATCGCGCTTCAAGCTTCTTCAGTTGAATTTCGGGATAAGCCCTGAGAAGCCGATGCACAAGAAGTCTCGAGCGTGGCTCATCTCTGGCCCTGTCTCATTGGGTTGACCTTTCACACGTTAATTAAGCGTTTGGACAACATGATATTTTTTCTAGCCAAAGGTTGGACTCGCGATTCGCGGGTGAGGGAATACACCTCATTTTTGAGTCCCCATGGAACCAAAGACAGCACCGCCGGATCAGAGTAGTTGCTTCGAGCCTTCTGCCCCAAACAGGGAAGAAGGGTCTGGTGACCTTCGGCTTAGGATGGTTTCCTTCGGTTCCCATGTGGCCATGGGTCAAAATCCAAACACCCCCAGTGAACATCCCAATCCCCACTGAAATCCTGACTAAAATGGGTGGTGAATTCACTTACCAACCAAAATGGGATCCCAAAACGGTTTTGACCACCCATTTCAGGACCTATTTTAGTGGGGATTGGGATGTTCACTGGGGGTATTTGGATATTGACCCATGGCCAATGTCGCTCCCGGTCTTTGGAGCCACTTTTCTTGGTCCCCGGGGCCGGCTTCAGGTCCCGGCACCTGGACTTGACCCTGGAAGCCATTGCCAAGGACCGAAATGGGGGGGGGAGAGGGGGGGTTGTGGCACACATGAGGCGTGTTTCATGTGTGCATGAAATGGGGGGTTGAATAGGGGATCCCAAAATGAAAAGTGGCCCTCTTCATTTCCTTTTACCCAAAAGGGTATCGTTCAACAACACACCCAATCAGATGGATTCCTTTGGACACTGGTCTGTCTCCATCAGATCCTACAGCGGTGTCGTTGAACATATCCTCGGTAAGTTGCCCCACGCCTTGCCGGCCAACTTCATTTTAGGCACGGCTTTGTATGACCAATGAACCATAAGAAAAAGACCACTGCTTATTTGAGGTTGGTGTCAGTGTCACCAGGTGCTGCTCCCCCCCAAGCCGGTCTGCCGATTATGGCTGAAGCTTAGTATCACCGCGCATAGAAAACCTCAATGGGCCCCCTGTATGCTGAAGGCTTAGTGTCTATCTGGCTGTGGGTCAAAACCAATGGTACCATTTTGGGCTAGCTGCACCCCCATTTTAGTCTATTTTAGTGGGGATTGGATGTTCACTGGGGGTACGATTTGGATTTTGACCCATGAGTTGCACCCACCATTCTCTTCGGGGCATCGGATCTGTAGGGTCAAGATCAACTAGTCCATGGCACCCTCCGGGTCGTCTCGGACGGCTCGTGGCAGGCCAAGACGGAGACGGCGGCCAAAGGCCGCGGCACCTCGCTGCAGAGCCTCTTCGGCAAAAGCGCCCAGGCGCTGGTGGCTGAGCAGCTCGCGACCCCAGTGGGCACGCGGGTTTTTGGCTCATTTCGGGAAGTGTTGAAATGGCCTGTGGAAACAGGGTGATTCAGGGCTCTCTGAATGAATGTGTCCCCCTCAGGCTGCGACCCTTTTTCTGAGGCACGCTCCAAACGATCAGCGAAGTGCATGTGGAGCAACTGCTGCCCTTAAAATGAAATCAACCATCAACGGGCCTACACCGGCCGCTTGTTTTGCCGAAATTGTAAAGTTTCAAACCAGAGTAATGAGATGCAACCGCCAGGCAACATGTTCATGATGTTGAGGGGTGTGGAGCAATTGGTATGTGAAGCATTGCTAAATCCCTTCTGATGCTTGGGTGGGATGGGATGGGAAGGAATGAGATAAATGGATGCTTTCCACGCTGTATCATGTCAGTCGTCCTTCGCATAGGCTGTGCATCTTCTTCTTTGTACTTTCTGATCTTTCTGATGCACTCAATCGACCCGGCAATGTGGCGTTCGGATACATCGGCTTAGCGGCTCCACGTACCCCTAGAAAAGCAGGTTGTAGCCATATATAGAGGACAACACTGAGAAGGGACTACCATCCATTTTCCATAGACATCACCTATAGGGATTGCCTCTCAGGGTCACCTTGACAGACCTAGCCGGGTGTTTGCAAGCTTACTTTTGAGGGGTTGCCCGCAGGATACCTGGGTATTCTAAGAGTTGATTCCGTTCTTGACTCATTTGTCTGTTCAATATCTCAATAACCAACAATTTACGATCTCAAAAGAAGGATCCGTGAAATTCTTAAAAGAATGGGGAGGTACAGCCAGAACAACGGCAACTGGAAACATTGTGTGGGGGCAGTGCAGCCTGTGGTCACCTCTCGGCCCAGGTTAAGGGCCACGCTGCTCTTGTCCCTGGGATTTTGCGCACTCCTGCCATGTGTTGGGAGAGGGCAAAGCGGTTGCCTTTGGTTGGCTTTTTGTTTGCGTCATGTCCCTGGGGCGATGCTGTCAGAATGCCGTATACATAAAGGTGTGTTTAATAATATATACATTTTCACATATATGCGTGTACGTACATGTTCATATTGTTTTACTTGCATTATACTCTTCAAGTGCACAAGCATATTCCTGTCGACGTGCATTTGTGCATTGGGGGGTCACACAGCGATGTTACAATGTTTGGGTCCCGAAGGTGTTTTTGGCGTTGTCTTTGTTGATTACCAAGTTGGTGTCAGAAGGAATATTGTTCTTGGCCCAACTGCTTCCTTTTGAGCATTCAAGGATTTCAACTGGCACCTGTACTGTCTGACACTTTCGGACCCGGTTCACTGTTCTTGGTACAAATCGCAGTCAACGGGCCGAACAATAGAGGGTTGTCCTCTTCGAAGAATCCTTCGACTGGCTCGATTGAAACCATGAAGCGAGAAAGCGCATTCCTAAAAGCAGGAATAATCAATATCCGACTCAATCCCCTCCCACCGACAAACCTGTGAACAGACACCTTTTGGAAGGTGATGCTGCACGCACTGCCTTTCTTGTCAGTAGTTCTTTGCACTTGGAATGAAATACGGACAAAACATGTGTTCCATGGGGAAGTGCACTGCCGTATTTGTTGGTTTCGCAATTGCTCACCAAGTCCAGCACTTGCCTGGGGCTCAGCGATTTGTCAGGCGATCAACTCAGCGGGCCCTATGCTTCTGCAGGAGAAGGACTGGGAAGTTCGGACTCGAAGACTTTTGGCAAACTCATAGCGTTTTGGCGGTAGGTGTCTGTATTCGTTTGTGTCAAGCACCCAAAAAGCTTGAACTTTTGCTGACTCAACTCAGCAGATCAGAGGCGAACAAATGTCACTTCCATGTGTTTTGGCTGAAAGCAATTCTCCTATCCTTGGACGTGGGCGTCAATCTGTCTTCGTTCGGGTAAATCAAATGGGGGTAACGCAAGTTTGTTGGATTTGGTGGGGAAGGGAGCGAAATCTTCCCCTAGAAGCCTTGCCTTGTGACATCTTTTTTGTAGTACAGGGAAACAAACCGGAAGCTGCGAATTGTGGGGCTTAAAAGGAGACCAAGCCTGCTGTTGCCAGATGTGATTCCAGACTCCTATTTTGTTATATCTTTAGTTGGGCAATTGATTTTCTAGTTGAAGAGGGTTGGAACATTGCATGCATCTCTGCATATTCAGATGTCTGGCCTACGTTTGAAATTTGCAATCCTGGCTTCAGCATTCTGCGGAGTTCTGGCGTGCATGGTGTTGTTTGATGCGTCTGGCCTGACTGAGGCTAATGTATCCCCGTTGCAAGTTGCAATCCACCTGTTGTCCTACGTGACCCTGCAGCAAGCATGGCCTCTCCAAATCGGACGTGCCGCTAGCGGGCCCTCGAGCGCAGGCCTTCGAGCGCATCCTGAAGCCACTGCACCAGGCATTCCGGGGGTTGGCATCAAAGCTTCACGGCTGAGTGTGTCGAAGGTTGGTTGCCCAAATGAAACGTATGTCTACACACATTGTGTATTGTATATATATATATATATATGTGTTTATAGCCATGCACAAATGGATACATCATACCCTTTCACCTTTGTCCACGTGGGTCGCTCCCTCCTAAGCCGCGAAGTCGCATCGTCTTCGTTTCCGGAGGCTCTGGCGCAGGAGAAGACGCCGGAGATCTTGCGCAGCGCGGCGGCGGGCTCGGGGGTCGGAAGCGTTGGGGGACCGCGCCCGATCCCTTTTTTCGCGCGTCTCCAAGGGGGGAGGGGGGCGCCCCCTGTAAAAGCAAATGGCTATAAAGACCCTGCTGGTTCTTTCCCTTTGAAGTCAAATCAAAGGGGATTGCCCCAAAAAGGACACCTGCGATTCCTTGTTAGGCCAATGCACACATCATTGTTTGTTTACTGATTCTGGAGCTTCCGGTTGTGAACAAAATGTCAAGGAATCCTCTCAATGCAGAGAAGCTAATGTCACAAGATAGCCAGGATGATTTCGAAAGGGCATTTTGGGCGATCAGTCAATCAGTGCATAGAAAGCAGGAGTCGCAAACGTGCAGCACCAAGTTGGGTAACCCTCAAACCCTAACCTCTCTACTGGAGTAGCTACAGAACCCATTTAGGGGTCCCCCGAATTCTCAGGTTCTGCCGTCTGCCGTGATCTTTCCAACAAGCAACCAGCGACCGGGGGCGTGAGGAACTTGGCCGAGCCCAGGTGGATGCGGCGAAATTGGTGGGGGATGCCCTGCGATGCCCCAAGGAGCAGCGTACAGAGCCGGGGAGCCCAGGGAGTGTCTTCCAGGCTGGTCATTTGGGCTTAAGAATGCTGCAGGTAAAGTAAGGTCTGTTAGAACCACGTCCACATAAGATTGAAAATGGTCCCGAGCCTTGTACAGGTTCCCCTTTCCTATCCCTTTCGCATTGCGTTTGTTGATCCACCATGTAAGGCAGTTTCCAACGGACCTCAGGTGGGTTGCCCTTGATGATTGGCTCATTTCTTGCAATGCTGGAGTCATGGTTGGCTGGTCAATGGGTCGGCCGCCCAGTCCTTCGGTTGGTTGGTTTGCAAGCTGGCTGGATGGTTGGCTGGCTGCCTGGCTGGCTGGCTGGCTGGCTGGCTGGTTGGTTGGTAGGCTGGTAGGTTGGTTGGCTGATTGGTTGGTTGGATGGTTGGTTGTTTGGTCGCTCGCTTGCTTGCCTGCCTGCCTGGCTGGCCGGCCCTGAAGGGTGATTGTAAAAGCCAGATGAATACCTTTCTGGTGGATTGGGAACAGGCTGCAAACCTTTCTAGAGGTGACTATCCTCACAAAGTCTGCCAGGTCCATTCGTCCGGGTCTAGCACTATGGGAATGCTGACGGATGAGGAAACCATGAGGAAACTGCTCAAAATATACAAGGGGTCAAGTTCAAATTAATTTTGACACCTGGCGCGTGGTTTCTCTTTTTGAGGGGAACGGAGCTGAAAGGGACATTGCCATGCGTGTGTTGCCATTTGCAAGGGTTTTCCTGCTGGTTTCGACGCCCGTAGCCCTGCATCCAAGCTTGAGGATCTGGAGCGTTGACTAATCGTGGGGCTAGTGCTATCCAGTCAGGCGAGGATGTCGCGGTTCGGCTCAGATTTTCTTGATAAATAGTTTGACCTTCAGAACTGTCTCAAATTAGTTGGCAGATGGCACTCCCGGATGTGGGCAACTCAATCCGAACTGGGGCCATGAGGCCATGGGGTGCCTGCAGCCCAATGGGCTCTCGACCGAGGTGCGACCCCTTTCTTGCCGCAGACCTGGCGGAGGCCGCGAAGCCAAGATCATCTTCCGGAGCCTTTGGAGGAACCCTCTGGTGGGTTTCCCTGAGGAAGTCTCTTTAGAGGAACCCTGAAAGAGGAACCCTTTAGAGGAATGGAACATGCCTTGCGTGGGTTCCATGTGGACAGGAGGGGATTGTTTCTTTTGCTTTCGCACTTGGCATGAGAAAAACCAGTGTGCTGGCCAACGTACGTGACTCAGAGGGAGAGAAGTTCGGTTATCACTCTCATGACGAGTATTCCCTGTTGGCCTCAAGCTGTATATCACAATGTGGATGCCACCTCTTGAGCTGCAAACATGATGTAGCACGCACTGTAGAAAAAAGTTGGTTCGCAAGAGTCCTCTACATTGCTTGTTGCCTAAGCTGTTCTCACTCAAGCGACGAGACAACATGCTGTTAATTGAAGACTTGTCGGTACCTGCACTCCTGTGATTTGAAGGCTTATCGTCTAACTGCAATACTTGGCAATTTGTCCGAAATTGGACCTTTCGCTTTGGTGAATGTAAAAGCAGACCCCACTTGTTGACAACATTTAACTGCAATCAGCTGTGGTGCCCTGCAAGCTAGGTTTTGCCCGAGCAGTCGCCGATCGCGGTTCTCAGCGAAGACAGCCCTACCCGGGAGGCAGGAAAGTTGAGAAACCTGGCTGAAGTCGGCACCTTCCCAGCTGGCTGCCACGGACACTGGCTCGCATAGTTGAAAATGAGTGCGAAGTTTGTGTGGGAGCTGCAGTGGGAACCAGGGGAATGCGGATGTTCTCATTTGCAAGTTTGGGCTTTCTGGGTAAAGGGAGCCCGACCTCACAGGGCAAGCAATCACTTGACTTATTCCAGGCTAGATGTTTCTTTGGCTTATGTCCCCCGACCTGGGAGCCAGGATTTCAACACTTGGCATTTGACGTGCGTTGGCAAGACCAAGGCTTTCTGTTAAGTGTTGGTTGAGGTTGGGTGTAGGCTATGTTTTGGTGGTAAGTGTTCGTATGTGCTTCGCTTGACCAGCTGAGTTTCAGTCACGTACTCAATCAGGCACCGGACAACATCGGACATCACAATAATCCACAGCATGTCAAGTACATGGCTTTGGATCATTCGGTCACTCAGCGTTCGAGCTTTTGCCCATCAGGCTCTGGCGAAGCATCGCAATGAGCTACTGGAGGCCGGGCATTGGGATCGGATCCTCGACCCCAAGTTACCACAAGATCAGGTCGCAAAATCTGGCGCATGAAGCCTAACGCATGAAGCCTAACATGAGGGGACTGGTGAATGGATGAAACTGGGAAGCGAAAGCGCCCTGCAGGTTTGCTCATTCCAGTCACAGGCAATGTGCGGAAATCTGTGTTGCCAGCTTTTGGATTCGGCATCTATGCCAGTGCAGCTGAATCATGGGAGCCGGCCGCGTCTTCTTCCGTTTCCTTGGTGTTTATTTGGGTTCCACGATGCGTTCAGAGAATTTGATGGTGACGAGTAACCACAGACGGCAACGGAGGTGTGTCCTGCTTGTTAGTTGGGTCCCAGAATGGGTGATCGGTTGCGCCCGTGCGCTTTTGCATTGCTTCCAAATCGTTTTGCTCTCACCTTTTGAACTGTCCCCTAGTCTTGCAGTTGCCCACATGGAGTTGTATCAAATAGGCACTCCTGAAAGTTGGCCCACCTTTTGACGCACCCCAACAACGGTGCCTTCAAAAAACAAAGACGCCAGTGCCCCTTAGGCCTTGCTGCCGCTGGTCGACCCACACGATCAGGAGCTTCGAGCCAAAGGTTCTGTGGCGGGGGTACTTGATCAGATCTGTTAAATCTTGCAAGTTGCTATGCGCATCATGTGGGCCGTGCGAAATTGGGATTTGTTGGTGTTGTGTTGCTTATGTTGTCACGTTCACGCTCCCAGAAATGGGGGGGGGGCTGGGTTGCCTTGTGGATCGTAGATTGCAATGTTCAAGGGATGAATGATGCATCCCCAACTTTGTGCATTGCGAATGCACCCCCAGCTTATGATACTTGTGATTCGGCTGCTGGACTGATTTGATGCCCTCAGTTTACGGGTAGAGAGCTGCAGAGTGGGAGGTTGGATTTGTCCTTCAAAGTCCGGCCGCAGGAGGATGACAAGTTGGCGTTGCAGGAGATGTGGTACGCTCAGAAGGGATTCTCAGGTCAGTGGCTTTGCTCACGGATGCCCAATAACGAACGTGCCGGGCATCCCCAAGACCACGCTTCAAACTGCACCTTGGTGCTTGACCAGAGGGATCAAGTGGGCCAGCACCCCCTTTTGACAGCCGCAGGCATGGTGTGGTGTGCACAATGTATGCTATGCTCTCTCTGGTTCCCTTATCTTTACATGTTTGTCAAGAATCCCCCAATGGTGGAAACACTCACCGGATTGGTCCTGCATTTGACCTTACAGAAGGCCCTAGGCGCCAATTGGCCTTATGAGGATTGGGGCAAGCATTGGATATCTGCTAGAATTACCACTTCGTCCCAATGAACTGCGCGTCGTAGCAACGCCTATGTGAGGCTGTGCCCTGTGCTGGATGCGATCAGCCCCAACCTCGGGATTACAAGGATGGGCAAAAGGAATGTTTGTTCGTGGCAGTTTCTGCCTAAGAGCGCATTTCTCTAGACTCTAGGCGAGAATTGTTGCTTTTTTGCTTGTGTGTGTGTGTGTTCCTGTCTTGCCTGTCGCTTGCGGGCCGTCATCATGCTGCATGGTACTATCTTCATGGTTGAGGCTGAAAGGTTTGTCCGTAGAAATGAACCCAGGATCAGCCCTTTAGATTCTGCACCTCCAAAGAAATGAGCCCTTTGCAATTATTTCGTGCTCCGCTTCATCAACCGCTGCGAACTTTATCCCACCCCCCCAAACCTTCCAGAACCCTCTGCAACCTTGTCCCCAGAGAGTTGATACATACATGTAGAGGTACTCGAATCCTAGCTAGTTGTTTCACAACAAAAAATAACTAAGTAAACAGTTATATATGTACAACTATAGTTGTTTTTTGTGTATGGGAAACAACTAAAAAAAGCTTATACAAATACTTGTTAAACAAACATGTTTTTGAAATTTAGCTTATTTGAGCAGAGACCCAATAGCTATTAGCTGTTGGGGGGGAAAAAACATAGATTATCTCCGAATGAGTGGAATGCCTACCGTTAGAGACCCCTTGCTTGATCTTGGGTGGTGAATGAGTCAATAGGTACTGCCTGGCCTTTTTCCGCGTTCCAGCTCCGGTGCTTGAGCCCAGAATGTTTCAACTGGGGCTGAGGGCGTTCATTGGCAAGGGCGGAGGTGTTTCTGCGTTCCACCATGGAGATGCATGGAGTCATGGCTCAAGGTGGCCACTGCGGGTAGGGGTGTGTAGGGGCCCAACGTGTGGTCCGAAGGCTCCCTGGCTGCGCTGCCGCTTGCGCTGCCCTCACCCCTCTTCACCGCGCTGCTGGAGCGGGCCCTGCAGGCGCAAAGGGCGAGGGAGAGGTGGGCTGAAGGGAAGAACGATTGACTACTTTTGGTTGGTTTCTGTTGGTAGGCTTCTTGGCAGGTGTTGTTTCTGGTTGAATCAGCGCAAGTTCTTTTGTTGCTGGGCTTTTCGGAGCGCAACAACAAGTTATCTCTTGAATTCGTATAAGTTGCTTTTGTTGATAGGTTTCTGCAGCCGGAGGTTAAGCTTTTTCTGACCAGTCTTTGCAGGTCGCACCAGACCATGGACTGTTCACGCAACTCACATGCCACATTGTAAAGAGACGGGGATTCAAAGGGCATACGGGTCTGCATGGATATGATCAGGCACGGATAGAGCAGAGTGAAGTTGTGCATGGCACAGATTGCAACTGGTTTTGGGCATGGTGGGTGCAGGTTGTTTTTGCCTGCAAAGCTTGGGAAGTGGTCTCGTGTCGCGTGACCAGAGGATGCTTTCCGCTTTCCTTTTGCATTCCGGTGACTAGCTCTGTGCAGCTTTTCCTCAGACAAATGAACAAACAGGATCCCCGCAGAATGCTCATCCTTACCGTTCGGAGAGTGGTGCCTGCACAGGACAAAGCTAGAGCTTCTTCACAGGATGTTTTCCCCAGCAAAGTCTTCAACATACTTGTTTGCGCAAGCTTGCTGAAAGTCGGTGTCACACAACTGTAGGTGCACAGATTCAAGGGTCATTTCCCAGGCTGGGGAGTGAATTTTGGTCCGGCCCATCTGAGGTGCTGTTCCTGTCCGGTCCGCAGGCCGCTTCCTCAGCTGAGTTTCAAGAAGAGGGCAGGGAGAAGAATAATGACAAATGTGGAGTTCGCAACCAAGGTCACTGCTGGTCAGGCATATTTCACATATCTTTGCAATTCTATTTATGGCAGCGTTCCTTCACTATGTCGGCTGTTTGGACCGTTGTGTACCAGATGAATCAGATGATCGAGTTTCTTGGCGCTCATCAGAGACTCTCGCCATTCTGCCTCAGGACGGCCTGTGCACTTTGGTGTTGCTGTGTGTCGCAACATCTTGCTCTTGTGATTTGTTTGGCCACGGTTCGCTGCTTAGTTCGGGTGGTTGACCAAAAGGTGATGCCTTCCCAACCGACCAACCGGAATCCTTCAGCTGGCTCGTACAATCTGGTTCACGGAAAGTACTCTATGCTCAAGTGTGCTCGTACGCATATTATTAAGCAATATATATTGTACATCACTAATTGCAGACACATGAGCAAGTCCTTTAAGGGTTGCTTTGAGAAGACGCCAATTTGGGGGCATTTGGGGGCTCGCCCAATTGGAGACGACTTGTCTGCAGAGTCATGTACGTGTCTCTTCTTATGGCTGATTTGGCGTTTTCAAAACTCAGGGACCATCCCTTGCAGCTGGTTTCAGAGGGGCCCCCGTTTAACCACCGCTCAGACAAGTTTGGCATCGGCTTTGGCTTGCTGCGGCCCAGGCAAAAGAAAGCACAGAGGCGTGGCTCGCGGGCTCAGGGTTTTGGGCCGCCCAAAGGTTGAAGGCCTAGGCCACGCGTTGAATGGGTTCTGGCTAGGTGGGTCCTAGGCTGCAATACACATGGGGGCGGTCCGCAGCTTGGCGTGCTTACCAGACGCTTCAGTGGCCTTGCATCAGCGACTCAGGAAGGATGCTGAAAGGAGACAACCAGAGTGGCACCGACTTGTTTGGCTGTTTTCGAAAACTGGAGCTCCCCTGTGTGATGGCCGCTACAGGGAAGCGAGAAGGGTGGACTCATCCAGTCGTTGGGAGGTGGATTCGGCGAAACTGATCAGCGGCTCGTTGGGAGAAGCAAAACGCTCAACTGTGCAGGCAGCTCGGGTGAGGGCTGTGACCAGCGGTAGCCTTAGCGCAGGAGAAGTTGCGGCAGTGCTTTGGTCACAACACCACTTGTTCTTGGCAGGAATTGTCATGGACCTTAGAGGGCATTTAGACAACCACACAAGGAGTTGTCACTGAGTGGTTGCAACAAATCCGTGTGCGCCGAAACCCTCTCACACTTGGAGCCGCCGCAGGTTGCCTATCAAGTAAGTCGAAATAAGTTATGCAAGGGCTTACACAAATATGACTCTAGCAGTTTCCAGCGCAGCTTCTTGGCAACAAGCAAGGTATCTCATGCGCTGAGAAAAAACAAGTACGGTGGATGTCCATGATGCCCGACATATTGCAACTGGAGAACAGGGGTACTCCTGCAATTGCTGCAAGTCGGTGTTTGGGGTTGGATGTGGTGTCGTGGGTCAAGACTCCTTCCTAGCTCGTCTTTGTTGACCGTGTGACCACAATACAGGGGGGAATTCGGATCTAGGTCTAAGGGGTTGAACCTTCGGAGAGTCGAACCAGGATGATGAGAGCTTCCGGCAGTCCCATCAAATGAGCGACTAAAAGCACAATCCTGCATGAACAATTGCTGTCACGAACCCAGCGCCGTCAGCGGCTGTTGGATTGTTTCTCGTTTGTTGGCCTCCGAGCAAGGTTGTGTTTCACAGTTGATTTCAGCTGCGGCTTGAATTGCTGAGGTCCTCCCCCTCAAACCGAATACAATGCCCTCTGTTTTGTTCAATGTAGGTGTGGCTTTTTGGGGAGATCCCCTGTTGACTGGGTTCAAAGGGAAGCCAAAAGCAAACCACCCATTCTATTCCGCTCCCTGACCTAAAAGACCACAAGCCCGAAGTAAGCCAAGCCCAAACACTCTACAATTCCCCAAACCCAACCCCCACCTCCCCTAATAAAATACTCCAAAACACCCCGGCTTTTTCTAACCTCCGGTGGGACACCCACCACCGGCCCCAACAAAACGACGCCGAGGCGTGCTGAAGGCGCTGCTCTTCCAGGCCGCCCGAAGATGGCTGGGCGTGTCCAAGCTGCTGCAGGCGCAGCAAAAAATGTTCGGATGCGCGAGTCCGAATTCGAGAGGAATCGAGCGAGGAGGGGGGGAGGGGGGGGAAGGGGTGGGGAAGGGGGGGGGGAAGGGGGGGAAGGAAGGGGGGATTCAATGGGTTCAAATCTGCACTTTTCGAGGGCGAGTTTAGGGATGTGAAGATGGACCAAATTGTGGCCAGGCAAAGTTTGCCATGGAAGAAATGTGTGTGTGTGTGTCCATGGGGCCTTTCTGGTGTCCACAAGTTGGTTCTTGCACTCTTCAAAACTGTAGCTGTCCAGGTTTCCCTTCCAGCCCACCCGAAAACGGGTGTTCCCAAGAACAGACTCTGTTAAATTGTTTGGTCTGGGTGCATTCAAACCCTTTGGTGTGCTGACATGGAAACGATCGCACATTCCAGGGCTTGGTGTGGCTCGACGGATGCATCTTTGTTGGTAGGTACGCAATCCACTGGCCATCGGCGCCTGTAACCCAACAAAGCCTGATATGCAACAGCACATGTGCAGTATCTGTGCAGAAAACGGTTTGGATGCCTTGTTTGGTTTCCTCATGAATGTCCACCTGTCGGCGTTTTGGTTGGTACTCACTTGGTGATCCTTCAATACCCAACATAAGCGGACACACAGAAGCCGCGCGCAAACCCACCCTGGCTTGGGGGTTACCAGTAGAGGTCAAGAATCCTCTTCAAGATTTGCTGCTGAGGCTGTTTTGTGGCAAGGTGTTACCTATGTTGAGTGAAGGGTGAGCATTCTGCTGCGACCTAACAGCATTCGTGCTTTGCTTTCGCAAAAGTTGCTTGCTTCATTTTACCTCATCACCTTCCGGATGGCACGGAAAAGGATCCTGAAAGGGCCTCCCTTGAACAGAAGCACAGCATTTCCCATTCAGAGTGGAACATTCTGGATTTAACATCCGATGAATCTGCCAGGTTGGTCAATCCGAGGTCAACACCGAGCTGTGATGTTGCATCCGCCAGGCGGTGCATTTGACGGGAGCAAGTCACGCGGAGCCCAGACGCCGGCGCCCCATCGCGCGAATGTGGGTTCGGGTTCGGGTCTTTAACCGGTGTGTCCAAAACCGGCATCTTTTGGTTTAGCAGGATCACAAATCAAAAGAGTTCCCTTTCCTTGCACAAAGCCAATTGCTTTGGCTTCACCGGTTGGAAGTCTGGTTGGAAGCGGGGACACCAACCCTTGAGAATGGCGAGAAAGCCTGAATGCGAAACGGCTGGAAAGAGATTCAGAATCGAGGAGCAGCGGTCCCGGATTCAGGCTTGTTCATGCCAGCCCATCGATATCAACTTGTTTTTTTTGCTGTGCTGCTCAGTGTGTCGTTGGTGTTGCCGAGGCAGGAGTTGGTCTTGCAGCCCCGACTTGCAAAGCTGCACATGCTGCAAGGCGTTTCTAGATGAGCCTAGGGAGCATGGTACCCGAGTTCAAGTCTTTGGAGCAATGTTGGCTTCACCAAATGCAGAGCCTCCTGGGGCATACTGTTACTGAGTCAGAGTGATTTGGGTTCTGACTCCTTTTGGAGTCTCCATGTTTGAGTCGTCACAAATGTGTTTCATTTCGATTATTCATAGGGCCTCTTTGACGTAGCTCTTGCGAAACCCAATTTGCAGGCCGCAAAAGCTTGTTTCACATTGAGCATGTAGGTGTTGCTTTCTCCAAATGTCCGAGCCATTCGGCCAGAAACCAAGCCTCGTCCGGCAAGAGGCTTGGCTTGCTGCCACCCGTTTGCTGTGTATGTGTGGGTGTTTGTTTCTGTGTTTGCGTCGGTGTGCTTATGCCTCTCTGTGTGTTTGTGTCTTTGTCTCTCTGTCTCTGTGAAGTTGTTTCCAGTAAGGGGAACCTGTGAACTATTCAGATTTTCTGCATGGTCTGAGACTGACCAGGGACATTGAGGCAGCTCTTACAGCACTACGTGTGCAGAGGGTTGTCACCCTCTTCCCTGTTGAAGCTAAGATGATGCAAGATGAATCGCGCGGCTCACTTGTTATGATCTTAACCACTGATAATGCTCAGAAGGGCCTGAAGGATGGAACCCATCCACAAGTGCCTAGAACGCAGCTGAGGCAGAGTTAGGATAGTTTTACCGGCAACTAAAAGTGAGACACGATATGTATGTGTTGTAACAATGCAATGATACTAACTCCAATGATGTCATGGGATCAAACAAACTTGCCCGAGGATGGACTTGCGTGCAGATCATCGGCCGGCCGGGCATGTTTCTGTTGGCCTCGCTGAAGTCAGTCTGCAGAATCGGGTCTTGATGCATCATGCGTGCCTTTCTGCCTGTGTATGCGGTGTGTTTGTGTGCATGTGGCAAAGTGAGCTGCTCCCTTGTTTTAAAGACGCGCCAAACCATGATCAGACGCTGACTCTTACCCAAAGAATTTAGGGCGGCCCGGTACGGAGCGGCGCTCCCAAGTTGTAATTGTTTGTCCTTTCAGACCTCCGCCGATTCCCCTGAAAATGGGTAGACGTGCTCATTTGGCCCGTGCGGTTCCGAATGGCATCCCAAATGTCAACCCCCCGGCAGAATGTTCAATGGCTGATAGCTAGAAGTCAGATTCAGTCTGCGCCATCGATCCCGTCTCTCTTCTTTGCCAGGCGACTTGTGCCGAGTCGCCCCCATCGTGACGATACCGACGGAAGATGAAGGCGCGAGAGTGATAGAGATGTGCCACGACAAAGCCAACAAGTTCTTCCCTAAGGCTCAAACACGTGCCCTGGCAAATTTAGTGCTGATCAGAAATAGGTGCATAAGTGTGTTGGGTGCATGGGTGATGTATTTGGGCGGGTGGTTGAGCCTTAGACTTGGGGATAGATTGGATATAGTGGCTCGCGTGCGATGTCCAAAGGCTGGTTAGTGACAAGGCAGCAAGACAGAAGGGGTTCAGTTGTTCAAGGATAGTGCTGCCGAGCATCATGGTCCATGATGTTGACAGTACATACTTCTACTTCTAATATGTAATGTTGGCCACTGGCGTTTTGGAGGGCGTCTCCCCGCCAAAAGTGAAGAATCTCTCCAGAAAAAGGCTCACACTCTATGAGTCAACCCCTGTTCATGAATTGCCGCCTCCCATTAGGCAGAAGCAACCTGACAAATTCGGGCATGATCAGTCAGCATCGTTCCGAAATTTGCCGCATCATCTCTCCTCACACCTGGGATGCAAAATGTCCACCCGTTTGTGAGGGACTTCTGATAGGACTTCAAAGCATCAGCAGGCGAGAGCGACCTGGGCGACTGGTCCGAGCAGAAGCCCCAGATGGCAGTCACTATGTTCGAAGTCGCCTGGAAATGACTCACCGAGCAGGGTGTTTTGCAATGTTTTACATGGTGGGGTCACACCGTCGCAATACCGCTTCAGCTGGGTGTGAGGTTCGCTTTGCCACAAAGCTTGAGGAGTGTAAATGACCACCCATATCCTGCTGTGCCCAACCCTGGCCAAGATGAGCGGTACTTCTCGCCATTCTGCCAGTGTCTGGCCATGTCTGGCCTGTTCCCCCAAGCATCCAGCCGCGTGAGCTAGGCTAGCTGCAAAACTAGGGACCCCTTCCGCTAGCCATGCAACACGAAGGCCTGCAGATTCGGATTAGGCTGCCTCAAGAAAGGGACACAAGCAAATCCCAACCCAACCTGTCCCCGACGCCAATGGTTTGTCCCTTGGTTTTCCTCAAAAGCAACCAAAAAAGGGTGCCCTCAAAAAAACGAAGCCCATACGCTTGCCATACGCCACTCGCCACTTGTTGCTTTGCACATGCTTCCGTCGCGCCTCAGGTGCCTGGCACTGGTGCTGCCACGCATGGGGGACAGTTCCAAGGCCATAGGGTGGGCATTTGGGTATACCTGTTTAGTTGGCTTCTTTTTTGTTGGCGGGGGGGAGAGCATATTTAGGGGCGTGACAACCATCTCCTTTGAGGTATATCCCTTTAATTTGTCTTTCTTGGGGTAGGGCATGTTTGAGCGGCATGACAACTATCTCCCTCGAGAAACACTTTTGTCGGAAGGCTGGGTGCAAAATGAGACAGCGGAGTCTCCAAGCCAACAGGATGGATCAGGGAAGGTTTAAGATTCTCACCTTATGGGCTTATGGGAAAAAAACAAGATGCGCGGAAGGAACCTGTGTGAAATATGCATGGAGTGTTAGAGGCCAACCAACTTGGGACTTCGGGGGCCGTTGAACCATCAGCCTTGAAAGCAGGCCTGCAAACTGTTTATCGGCGCGGGCCACTTCGTGTTTTTTGCGAAGTGACCAACGCTTTAAGTGGGATGTTTGGGGCTACCTCGCATGTGCGAGGGCTTGGTTCCTCCCACTGCCCCAGTCTCACAACGCATAGTTTCAGGGAGATGAGGCAACAAATCTGCAAACAACCCACTAGTCACAGTGCTGCCCCACCTTTGCTTGACGAACCCGCCTTAAGCTTTGGGAACTCCGGATTTGCCTCTGGTTTTCCCCTCACCCACCCCACCCCACCCCACCCCACCCCACCCCACCCCACCCCACCCCACCCCACCCCACCCCACCCCACCCCACCCCACCCCACCCCACCCCACCCCACCCCACCCCACCCCACCCCACCCCACCCCACCCCACCCCACCCCACCCCACCCCACCCCACCCCACCCCACCCCACCACCCCCGTGTGGTGAAGCCTCTGAGCTCCCGATCTGCCAGCGTTGGGAGGCGGTGGCCTCGGCCGGGGTGGACGCTGTCCAGCAGCTGCTGGCGCGGTGCCAGTACACCACGCACCTGCGCCTGGGCCGGGCACTCAAAAACGTTGCAGGAGGTCTGAAAGCCAAAGCCCCCTGAACCAAGAAAGGCTGGCTAAGCATGTCTGATCCAAAGCAATATGTCGCGTCTAGATTGGTTGCCTTTTGGTCAGATGGTTCATTGAGTTTGTTCAACATGTCGTGGGCTTTCGCGGAATATTGGCACCCGAAAGCATCGGCCACTGACCGCATTGTTCGTGTTAAAGGTTTTGTGCTTGAGTGACCTGGGCAGCCTAATTTCAAGGGAATGCCTTCATCATTGCACAAGGCACAAATCTGGGGTCTCATGTTTGACCCAGGTACTACGGAGGAGTACCTGACATTGCCTCAGGCCGGAGAGTAGGGAAGGTGGCAACTTTTGTAGGGTATGAGTTGCCACGCCAATTTCACATTTTGTGTTGAGCCATATTTGTCTATGGTTTTCTACCGCTGTTTGAAAGGCCGCAATACCCATGGCATCTTTGGATTTTGCCACGGTAGTTTTCCGAATGGTCCCAATGGCCTGCAAAAGGAATTTGGGTGACTGAGCTGTCGATGTTGCTCTCAGTGCGCAATTGCTGTTTGGAAATGAAACCGCAATGCACCTGAGCGAATGCACTTTGAGACGGCACACTACAGACATGTTGTCCATTTGAGGATGTCCTGGGGACTCCCTTTTGGATGGTGTGCCAAAGGGGAGCCAGAAGGAAACCCCACCCCTTCCGACCCGGCAAGCTTTCTTGTAAAATGGGGGATTGATGTTTAGGGGCCAAACAAAGGCCACCACGCCCCCGTTGTGTCGAACGGAGTCAAACTGGTGTTTTGAGCATGGCACATATAGCGCTTGAGCATGGCCATCTCTCACCTTCAGGACACGGCGGCGTTGCTAGACGACGGGGTTGCACCAGGCAGAGGGAAAGGAGACTGGGACGAGGGCGCCGTTTGTTTCGTTGTTTTTAATCGGCACCGAGAAAGGCATCCTTTTTAAGGGTTTATTGAGGCGAGTGCGTGCAGTGGCCGCTGTGGGGTCAGCCACAGGCCTCATCACTGAGAGGGAGGAGCTGCGGGGCGATCCGGCTGGGAGCCACAGTCCGCTTCAAAGGGACCCCTGTTTTGGATGTCTCAAGGGAACCAAAAGGGAAACACCCACTAAAGGGAAGTCCCCGAACATTCAAGGCCAGCGCGAGGCAGAGAGTAGGTAAATGTCCCCAAGTTGCTGACTTGTTGATGGAAAGCAACACCAGCGTGCCATTCAACTTACTTTGTTTATGGAATCCAGATTGAGATGCAGGGTCAAAGTAGCATGGGCAGTTGCTGGAATTCAGCGAGTTTCAGGATGCAGAAACGGCCAATCCCCTGGCCACATGTCATGTTGATTTCCCCGCAAATCCGCCGTACCATAAAAACACAAACCAGTCGGTGCTTTAGCTGCATAGCGCCTCCTACATCCTTGTTAAGAGAGTTGAGCGAAAACCATCGACAATCACAACAGACCTCGCTGATGCTTGGAGAATAGGCTTGCGACCACAACACCGGCAAAGTCAAGGAAACTCGTTGGGATCAGAAGTGATTGATGTGACTGAATTTGGTCTTGAACACCTCCAGCCCATGATTTACTGAAGTCTGCGGCTCAAACAAAGTTAAGAAAAGCGTAATGAGGCGCAATGACAAAATCTGCGGTCCTAGTCGGTTTTGAGGCACCGAACCCTTGAAGCCGAGGCCCCCCCCTCCCAGCAGCTGGTGGGGGCTCTGCTCACGCGCCTCCCGGAGCACGCCATGCCGGCCATGGCGGGGAGCTGAAAGCGAGACCCATGGAACCGGCGGAGTGGAACCGTTCCTGAGACATCGCCACACTCAACGGGCGTCTTTGCTGTTATCTAATATGCTTCTAGAACCCATGAAGCGTTTCTTGCTTTCAACCCCCTTGCAGGTTCCTGCATCTGACCTCGAAGCAGGGTGTAGCAAACAAGTAGCAGCCAACATGTGATTTGATGGGGCCGATGGGTGTAGGTAACACGTACAGCATCCGCGCTGAAACTGATCTTGAGCAACATGCTGTTCGAAATGGGTGTGGCTGGCTCAACCTCAACTGCAAATCTGCGGCCGGAGCGAGGTGCAATACTTGATGCCTTCCATGCATGACGCTGCGCCCTCAGATTCGTGGTCTATGTCCCACCTTGCTTCCCCCTTTTTGAGGGAAGCCTGGCAAGAATACGTTTAAGTTAAGCAGCTTGATACTTATTCCAGGAACCCTCCAGATTGGTGAGAGAAGAGCGTTTCCCATGTGCCCTCGTGTGTCATTTATACATGAGGAGTTGGTTGCTGTGAGATGGCCTAAATATTGAGCACTGCCAACAGCAATGAGAGTGGCAAGGACTGGATCAAGCAACAAGCAATTGGAGCACGCAAGGGCCTATGTGCACTATAGCTGACAACAAGAAAGCATGCAGCACACAAATTCAACTTCCCGTTGATACCATTTCTTGTACTGTCTTGTTCCAGTAGCGTCAAAATGCAAGGAATAAGCGATCTGATATCCCGACTACCGACCACATGACCGAAAGTCCGCGACCGATTTCTTCATTTTCGCTTGCCCCAGTTTCCGAATCGCGAAGTCCCAACTCTTTGCCCAACTTGGGGGAGGAGTGATGACCACGGCACAGCTTGCAGCTCAGCTTTGGCCAGATGAGGTCGACAGTCATGCGGCCATGACGGGCGTGGACGCCATGCATTTGTAGACCCGGCTGCATTCAATTGGCGTTGGCCGAACAGGCATCCAGAGTCTCGGTGGTCAACAACAAGAACTAGGTTTGGCTTGAGCCTATAAAAGTCCTTTTGTAGTGGTGGCCCTCTACGGACTAGGATTGGTCCTCCCATTTCGAGCCCAGATTTGAGAGAAGAGCAGTTTGGGGCTCAGGAAGTCCTAGCATGCACCACTTCGATAGACAGGCCGAACGAGAAGCGAGCCTCGCTTCCCCAAAACGATTCAAAGCATTGGCTGTTTCAGTGCTTGGCCCTAGATTTGAAAGGTTGTCGATTTGACGAAGGCCTAAGGCAGCCTTGAGCAGACAATTGCTCGGGTGCTGTTTGTTTTTTCCTTTGCAGGAATCAAGTGTTCACCCTATCACCAAAAAAAGCTTGAGTTCCAATCTTTCAGGCATGCCTCAGTCTTTTCAGAGTTTGCGACTGTCCGCCTTCGAGTGCGACAGTGGTGCTCCAGTGGGCAAGACCAGGCGTCAGCTGCGTTGAGGTTTCGCCCTCCTTGGGTTCTGCGAATGTTTCGTGGGAGTTCTGAGACTTCTGCGAGAAAAAGCCTGGAGAAATTGTTCTGAAAACATCGGAAATAGCCGAATTCTGTAAGCTTAGTGGGGCTCCTAGAGGTGCGCTCTTAGTTCTTCTTCATTGCCCACCCTTATTTGCAACTGGCGCTCAGATGAGACGCTTTCAGGCAAATGTTGCTAGAAGTAAGTTGCAACGTACAGTTCCACCCAGATGCTGCTACGCCACTATCATATCTCACTGTAGTAGTTATGCTACCTTGCGATGATCAGGACTTCGTACCACATCATTGCAAGCTCTGTTGAGTTCCGTCCCCAGCCCCAAGCTACTTTTGTTTTGTTGACCCATGTAAGGGTTCTTCATAGCTGTTTTTGAACTGGCTAAACGAAATCATGGTCAGTTTTTTCTTGGGCGGCGGGGGACGCCGATTCAGCCCCTGTGACGCTTGCGACTCTGCGGCCCGGTGCCAGGCTGCTGCAGTCCTGCTGCGAGCAGCTGAGTGCGGAGGCGGCCAGCAACCTGGTGAGCACCATCTTTGAGGAGGCCGCCAGCTCCGTCAGAAAAATTCGGAGTCTGGCCGAAAACGCGTGTGGTTTTCTCGGCGGTCTCTCGGAGTGGTGTGGGTTGACGTGGGAGTATTGAACCTTGCGCAGTGCCTGAACTTGGAAATGTGCTAGCATCAAAGCTGCAGGGAATTCAATCAGTGTGATAGATAGTTCCCTCATGCGGGCATCTTTTGGTCAAAATGACAGGCGTGGGCCCATACGGGTCGGGTCCAGCAACCTGGTTACTTGAGGATCCTACGGGCATCAAGCTTTAACCATCCTCACAGGAGCTTTGACCATGGGCCCTTAGCTTATGGACGGTCGACCTGTCAGGTGGAGCGAGTTCGGCACAGCTCAGTTCGACAGCTGGTCCTCTCCTGCATCAAGGCTGAGCTGCTTTGCGTTTGTTGGCACTTCCCCCTGGTTACCCAACTTGGCTCTATGTGCATGTCTCTGTGTGTGTGTGTGTGTGCGCGTGCTGATTGAGCGGATTGTTTGCATCAAACTCCTAATTCACAATGGGTTCGGAGAACCCAAGTCGGGCCCTCTATTTGCGGGATACCGTTGACGGCGTCGCTGCCTTCACAATATGATAGCTGGAAGTTTGCACATACTACGCCAGTGCGTCTTAGCATCGTAGTGTCTAGGAATAATCCTTTCTGGAATCACCGAGGGGCAGCCATTCGTAGTGCGATCTTGGACTTCAGGGCTCAAATCTCTTGTGCATACGCAGAACGGTTGTGAAGTTATTGCCAATAGGCTGCTGTGGGCAGCCTTCATCCGCAGCATGATGTCCTCTCTTCAAGGCTCGCAACTTCTCTTCCCATAGTCACCTCTTGCTTTCCAGCAACAACTTTGTGGTGCCACAGGCTGCACTGAGAGAAGCTTGGCCCATGCAGCTAGCTGTCAGCTTTCCATGGTTGTCTTTGCTTATTGTGGCTTAGTGGGAATTCCAACCACTTAACTGCTAAGATTTAAATTTTTGCTCCCCTTCCAACGTCAACCACTGGAAGGGCCAGTGGACTTGTGCAGTGGGCCCTTCGGTTCCAGGTTTTGGCCCTCCATCACTTTGACGCTGTGCCGGGCACTCGGCACTTGATGTCTGAAACGGGATGACCTTGACGAGAAACAGGGCCAAAATCCTAAGGCCATGTAAGGTCGGGAGGCAGTCCCAACTAGAGTATATATATATATATAATATATATATATATACTAATATACACAGGTGCAGCCATTCTTCCGTGTTCTTTACATGCTTTGTGGTAGACGTCGTCAATGCCAGGCTTGATTGTGACTCACGTGGCAGGTAGGGATAAGAACTGCCTCGTCAATGGCGAGTGGATATAAACCGGGAGAAATGTCAGTGACTTGGGGATATGCCTATTGTTGGCTTGGGGTGGCCATGAGGGCACAACACAAAAACCCACACGAGCCAATGTCCTCTTTGGGAACAAACCGGGGTTCTGATTGCAGATACGCAACGCAGGTGAGCCACCGGACGTGGCATTAGTGCACCTGAAGGGCTTTTAACGTGCCATCTCCATCATCTCAGATACCTAGAATCGAAGCGTGGGTCAAATGCCCACAACTTTGCTCTTCATTCCATGTGTCTATGGTCAGTTGGGAGAGCAAAGAGCAAAACCAAGGCACATGCCTACACTTCAAGAGCAAGTGTGCCCTTTGAATTAACAATTTCAAGGAATTCATAGGGCGGCCTGCCAGATTCGAGCACGTCAACCGTGGTGTGAGAGACTCGCCGCAGGATCGAGGAGCTGCTCGAAATGGGTCCTGACTTTAAGATGTCCATCATGGGAGCGCTGCAGGCGGGGAGGGGGTTTGTGTTTGTGATGCTTCCTGTTCAGAGCTCCAGATTGCCCCTTCCAGCTTGTTGAGCAAAATGCTGTGTTAGGTCTAGGGATGCCTTTTGGGGATGCATGGGAAGCTGGCCATGCACCGATCGCTCGGAGGTCTAACTGGTTTCGACACATTCCGACATGGGCTTGTTAATCCGGATCTGGAGAAGTGGCAAATGGGCCCCCAGTGTCCCTTGTTTCTCAAGAAAAGACAGGGGGACAAAGTTGAAGTTGAACGGGGGAAGTGAGGAAGTGAGGAACTGAAGCAGGTTTCATTCGTGTCCTGGGAGCGGGAACTCGGAACTTGGATGGGACTCTCATTACATGTGACCGGGGCAGGTATTGCGCCAGTCAAACTCGCTTGGGTCCCACTTTTGTATCCGAGACACGTGGGGAACGAGGGTTTAAAGGGTCATCCTGACTCGGCTGGAATGGGAATTGCCAATGCTTGCCCACATGAAACATCTAGAGATGCCAGATCTTCCGTGATCCGGGTATGTCCAGGTTTCGTTTCCAAGCGAAGGAAAGAATCGGAGGCTTCCTTGCGACTAGCACGAAGCGGCAAATCAGTGGCTCGTTTGTTCAGCCTGCAAAATGGTCCTGGTGACATTGCCGAACATCCATAGCAGAACGAGGCTCTGGGCACTGGCCCTACATGGTTCATGGAAGCGGGTAGTTTTTTTTGGGCGACGGATGCAACAACTGTTAGCTCTTGCTCCTCAGGCTACCCCTAATTGGTGGTTTGGATTGGAGGTTTGGTGATTTGAACCCAGGATCTTGTAGAGGGCAGATGGGAAACCCGCCAAACCACCAATCCAAATCACCAGTTGGAAGGAAGCAGAACGTGGGCGAGAATGCTTTGATCAATGATAGCTTCAACAAAAATATTGTTGATGCCTGAATTAAACATCAGTGGACCTGAAGTCAGATCAGGTCATGGCCAAGGAGAGCTCATTGCTGCTGAGCCTCGGCATGGAGGCCTCCAAAAGTCCCGAGCTTTTGACCCCTTGCTCGAGGTTTGCTCCATGAGGGAAGGTTCCAAAAGGATCCAAACAGGTGAATCTTCTCCTGGGTCTCTGAAGTCCCAAGTCCGCAAGTCTGTACGTCTCTCAGCTTGACCCTTCAAAATCTGTGAAAGGCCATCAAACAGACTGCCTCCACAGCCCCATCCATAGAAATACCCACACAGGAGGATCAGGAGCAACAGCTTAGGTAGACGACCAGCACTTGAATTCCTGCAAACTGTGGAGAAACGATCGGAATTTATCAGCACTTTCCCACTTTGGTTGTGTGTGTGTGTGTGTACGCTCGTTGCTCATTGTTTCCGAGTGTTTTCCGGTGCTCATGTTTCAGGTATTTTGTGTGTGCGTGTGTGTTTGTATCATTCAGGTCCGAGACCTCGAGTGATCAGAGTCGCCGTTGCGTTGCATCGCTTTTACGCTTCTCTATTGGCTGTAAACAGATTGGGTCTCTATTTGTTGATCCTCTTCAAATAGATTGGGAAGTGTGCGGTTTCTAAAAAAAAAAAAAAAAAAAAAAACATAGACCCCAGATAGCACACCACGGCTACGCACCATGACGCAGCATTATCATGATGATGAAGACAGCACCATGATGATACCACAGCCACTGAGCATGGTGCGCTACAAACGCGCATACAACGTCCTAGTGAGTTCAGCAGCATAATGATGATGTTGAGAGCATCATGCTGATACAGTTCTGATGAGTTCGACAGCATCATGATGATGCGGACAGCGTCATGATGATGCGGACAGCATCATGGTGATGCAAACAGCATCATGCTGATGGTAAAGGCAGCATCATGATGATACAAGCACGAACCATCTTGCGACAGCGTATCAGCATCATCCTGATGTTGACAGCATCACGGCGCCACTACAACCACAAACCATAACGCAGCATCATAGTGACCCCAGTTGCATCATGACGTGGTTGGGAACATCATGACGATACACCAGCCACGAACCGTTACGCGCGAACAGCATCCACCAGCACCCCAAACTGCGTGCCCCTCCACCAGCACCCCAAACTGCATGCCCCCTAGCACCCGGCCGTCAAGCTCGCAAAACAGCATCCACCGGCACCCCAAACTGCATGCCCCCCAGCACCCGGCCGTCAAGCTCGCAAAGCAGCATCCACCAGCACCCCAAACCGCATCCACCAGCACCCCACACTGCATGCCCCTTAGCACCCGGCCGTCAAGCTCGCAAAGCAGCATCCACCAGCACCCCAAACTGCATGCCCCTTAGCACTCGGCCGTCAAGCTCGCAAAGCAGCATCCACCAGCACCCCCAAACTGCATGCCCCCTAACACCCGGCCGTCAAGATTGGAAAGCAGCATCCACCAGCACCCCAAACTGCATGCCCCCTAGCACCCGGCCCTCAATCTCACAAATCACTTTCCACTCTTCATTAGAAGTTAGAACCCCTATAGCTTTCAGCTATCTGGGGAAAAACATGGTTTTGTTAATGTTTAACATAGGTGTCTGTGGCAATGTTGTTGGGTTTGGCCCATCTTGGCGTGCCCCTTGAAGACCCAAACCAGCTAACCACATCATGTTTTTTGGGTTGGTATATTCTTTGCGTGGTGGGGTCAGAGTGAATGAGAGTAAGCCTAAAGGGTGCCATGTCTTGACAGCTGAGGAAGCTATTGAATCATCTCACAGCTGCTTGGACAATACTTGATGCACATGTCCTTGCGGGTCAGCAGATGTGCAGGTGTCCAATGTCAATGCGACGATTAAGTTGCTGCTGTTTCAACAGCGCTCAAAATTGGCCTAGCCTTAAGTGACGAGCTCCAGATGGTTCTAGACATGCCAGACCAGGTATTGTTCCGCGGGGCGAGCTTTCCGTGTAAGTCCCACGCAGCCAGACATGTTAGAGAAGTCAGTTGAGACTTTGAGCCTAACGCCTGTTCAATCCGCAATCCGCATCAAATGAAGAGTACTCTTTCGACAACATTGACTGAGTCAAGCGTCATTGAATGAAACCAACACGATGTGGAAATCAAGGGCTTGCCTGCACTGAGGCTACTCTGCTTGAGCCTCAGCAAGCGCGCCGATCGAGCCCAGATCATGAAGATGTCAGGCCTGATATTGCACAGATCGACGGTATGTACCTTTGTTTCAATTTGTCACCAAGCAGTTTGCGGAGTGATCCATATCAAAACTCCATGCGTCACATATCGGTTCACTTGTCGCAGAGCACGGCCCAAGCGACGCGGAGCACGGAGCCATGGCGGAGATGGACACCGAGCCGACCCGGCCGCCGCGAAGGCGGCAGAGGTACCGGGTCAGCAGCACCTGGCTGCGGGTGCCTTGGGAAATTGGCGTCCGGAAATCCCGGAAATCCGGAGACGTGGGGAAGCATGCAAAATGGGAAGCATCGGGAAAGACGGGGGCGAGAGAAGTGCTGGGACTATAGTGACTAAACTGAGTTGCTGTTTCACAAGCTTGTTTCAATCGTAATCTCAGCCTGATAGAGCCAGAAATCGGGGCAAGTCATTTTGACTCAAGGCCAAAAACCGTGATATCATTCTTGAGCGCGTACAGCTCACTGCCGGAACCCCCGACTCGTTGCTCCTGAGGCCGACTTTCCGCAGCCGGAGGCTGTCGTGGAAGCCGAGGAGGCGCTGGCATCACTGGCGGACTGCTGGGAGGTGCTGCCGGAGCCGGAGATCTCGGAGGCCTTCTCGGAACTTCCGGGCCTCGGTCGAATGGTCTTGGCGCCTTTTTTGGGGTTTGCATTTGGCAGACCTCTGAACGTCCGTGGCTTTGGATCTCCAAATTTGAGAGCCCCCCAAATGTGTTGCTTGACCCCAAAAAAGGGAAGCCTCAAAAGGCCCCATACGACCAACATGAACCAACCCCCCGGTCGTTTTTTCTGCCCATTGCCTTTGCCAGGCGGCTCCTTCACTCCGGGGCCTCCAGAAGAAATGGGCCCAGCTGCTCAATCACAGCCACCGGCAGGTCGCAGAGAAGGTGCGACAGGAGTTGGGCCAGGCGGGCTGAAGCGACTCGGGGTCCAACTTTCTCCCCCGAGGGGCGTTGAAGCATCACCTTTTGGTCCCCTGTATGAGCTTCCTTAGGTTGATGTTTAGAGCCCAATGGTGGAAGCACGAACCCCGAAACCACTACCCCCAAGGCGAAAAATAAGTTATACCCATTTTAGTGGCTATGCAGTTGTGTTTCTTCTCCGGGTTGTGCCAGGTGGTAGTGGGTTCACTTTTCATAGTGGTGTGCCACTACGCAGTGTGGATTCAGACTGGGCATTCCTGTCAGCTGGAATTCCCCCAAGAATTGTTCAAGCACTGCGGTACCAGGCAAGCTTTACTTTGTTTGCGGAAGACGGGAAGACTTTGTCATCAGGAAGGCCTTTTTCCCGATGATACCAGTGACATGCTGGGGCCTGCTGGGGGCTTGATGATGGGGACGTCCGTCCGGAGCCAACATCTGATGTTTGTTTCGCCAAATGACTCCCTGGCGCGTGTCCACAATTTCCACTGACAGTAGCATCAGCCAGGCCAAGATCATGCTGCAGGCACTTCTGAAATCAGCATGATCTAGGATCTAGAGAACTCGATGGTTCGAGCACGGCTTCGTTCAGCGGTGACATTCTGCGGGATTGCCTTGGCTGGGTTGCTGGCCGGTTAGTGGTATGCGGAAAGTGTCATGAGCCTGGAATCAGATTGACGCAGAGGTGTCCAGGCCAGTACCAAAGCCAAGTCCTGTGCTTCCTATCAGTTGCCTTTGGGACTACTTTGGCCTCGCAAAGTAGGCCTTCTGGCCCATTCGACCCAGTGCTTTGCAGGGGGATCTTTTTGCCACCGTTTGGGGAATTTTTTTTGACCCCCTCGCAGTGAAGGATTCCTTTTTAAGGGGGTCGCCAATTTTCTGACAAAAGGTGGCAAAAAGACCCCCTGCATGCTTTGTGGTTAGGTGCATTTGGAGCCTCTCTACCCGGATGAGGAGCTGCAGAAGGAGTTTCTGCTGGCCCGGAAGCACACCGAGCACCAAACCATCTTCACCTACCACGGCACAAAGACACAGAACGTGAACTCCATCTCTCAGAAAGGCTTGCTGATTCCCGGGGAAAGAGGACCAGGGTGTAGTCCGGGCAGAGAACGCACTTTGCAGATGTTGACCAGAAATCATAGAGCTTTTGTGCGGCCCTTTCAAACTGCACCTTCCTGCTTTCTTGTTCTAGCGAGGTCTTGCAATCATGTCCAACTTGAACTCCTTGAAGTCTAAGCTGAAGTAGAACTACGCCCCGAACTTGACCTCGACCCCCCTAATCCATCCGACTCGAATTCGAAGTCTCAACCTGATGGTTGGTCCGGGAACTCGAACTTGAACTGATCCCCTCAGCCCATTTGTTCAATCACACTCATGCGAACACCTTTGGGCCGAATCGAATCGGTGAGGCTCGAGATGAGCTCAAAGCCAAGCTGGCCAATTGGAACCACCTAGCAAGCTCACCTTCACTCACTGTGCATCACTCGCGCTTCTTGTGCTTGTTGGACCGGTTTCAAAAAGTTTTGTTCACAGATTTGTGCTTGATGTGACACACATCTTTCACTCATGCTGCCCCGCAGGACACAAGGTGGCGAACGGGTCGGCCCACGGCGTGGGCATCTACACTGCACACCTGGGCAGTTCTCAGCTGTCCCGAGGTTTCTGCGATTCGGACAAGACACTTGCCAGCACTCCGCCATCCCGTTTGGCGCCCTCGATGGGTAGTTGAAAAGCAAAACAACAGGCGCCCTAGTTAGCATCCAGCCCTGATAGCCTCCCGATGTTTTTGCCTGAGGCTGCGAAAGGCGAAACGGCGAAAGGCGAAGATCTGATTGCCCCGTTCGGCTGACCTACAAAGCAGCCCACATCAACTCGGCAATAGATTAAGTTGATAGTTCCGCACAGACAGCATTTTCTCATGCTGGTCATTGCTCTGACCGGACTGCCCAGGGTCCAAGTTGTTCGATGGGTTTGCCAGTACTTAGACTTGTCTTCTTCGAGGCTACTCTTTGTGGTTAACAGTCCCCGATCTCCCTCCTTGCAGCCTTTCAATCGATGAACTTCTTCAAATGAAGTTGCGTCCTTTCAAGAACGAACGCTCGTACGGGATCCAACTGGTTTCGCAGCTCTTCTCTAAAGGCCAGCACTTGGATCTCAGGATGTTTCTCTGTGCGGTCTGCGACACCAGCCAGCCAATGGTGCCAGAGGCGGAGGAAGAGCTGCTAGGCACAGAACCAAGGAAGCGAGATAGACATGTCAATGTGAATATCCGAATTTTGCTGAAGCCATGACGTGCGCCCTGCATGTGATTGATGTCCTCTGCCCTGGCTATACAAGCTTGTGTTGCGATTGGAATGCCAGGTGTGCCATATAACTTAGGCATATGATGCATTGTCGATTTCCGTGGAAGTCTCATGAAAGAATTGTTGCATGTTTTGGAATCTCACCTATTCTGGCTTGTGATGTTGTAGGGTGTTTCACCTTTGTAGATCTGCGTTCCAATGATGATATCGGCAGTTGAGTGGGGGAGGGAATTGGCCTGAAGTTTTTCTTGATTGACCTTCGAGCTGGGGTCATGATGCTGGTGGGTTGCCCTGAACAAAATTCTGCAAGCCTGAAGTGTTGGAACACTGTTTGTCAACACACCAAGAGCCAAGCCCGTGGCCAGAAAAGTGCATCGCTGCTTTGCTCCCAGTGCCGCAGAGGAGTTCCTCAGACCAAGTCCCCTGAACCCTGCGAGGCTCCTGGTCAGGAACCTTTCACGCAGACCGCAGCATTTGAAGTAAATTCTGCGCGCGATGTCGAGGGCTGAGCCATGCGCACGTTCTGATGCAGAAGAGGCGACCTAGAGCTTTTCTTGTACTGCTTTCTTGGCAGGCTAAACATGTTGGTCGCTTTGCCACGCTCCCCTTGCCCACGTGAAATCAGGGGCGTGTGTTGCCAATCTTGGCCCCTGCTTTTATGCTGTTGCGCAGGTGCGTAGTGGCAGAAGAATTGCGGTAGTGCCGCATGTCCTGCATGTCCTGGATGACCCACAGCTTTTGCTCTTCAAGACTTGACTGGTTTCTTGATTTGCTGCAAGGTTTGTTCCAAGAGCGGCAAGGCCATGCAGGCTTTTAAGCTCGTGGTTGGCCTTTGGCACAGTTTGTCCAACTCTCTTTTGCCGCTCTTGATACCTAACCTCCCTCTCCTTCGAACAACAAAACATGTTGCTCGCCCGTGTTGAAGGGGCGAGTTAGCAACCCGGGTTAGGGGCCATTCGCCATGTGCCACACAATCAAGCAGCATGCAGAAAGCTTATAGCCTTCAGAGTCTGTGTGTGTGTGTTTGCGTATGTTTGGACGGCAAGCTAGAACCCAAGGCTGGGGGGAGCAAAGAAATGAGGTTTGCCTCGTGCCACTCAACACATCAATCCTCCAAACGTTTCCCCCCCTCTTTCCGCCGGCTTTCTTTTTTGGGCCGTGGGTTTCGTGCAGGTTATGGCGAAGCTGGAAGCCCTCCGGCACTGAAGCGCCAGGGCTCATGGAGTCCTAGTGGTTCGGCGGTTTCTTCTTTCCCTTTTTGGGGTCCCCACTGAAACAATAAATATTTTTCTTGGGTTACTGGGCCAGAGGGAATGGGTTTATATGGTTTTACTAGCCGTGCTGAGTAACACAAGCT